GGGGGGGGGGAGAAAGAGAGGGGAGGAAGAGAAAAATGCGATAGGGTAGTAGACAACGAGGTCGGAGCGATTGAAAGAGCGAAAGGAGATGATGAAGATGAAGGTGCGAAGTAGGAGAAGAAAAGATGATGAGGAAGAGTCAAAGATACAGTATAAATTAATTAAACGCGCGTTCTCGCCGTGCGCGGTCGGGCTGGCCCGATTACCTCGCCGGTGTGTCGATCTCCTTAATCGAACTATAATACGATACGAGGTGTCTCTTTTTCATAAGTGTAAAACTTTATCATATACGTAACGCGTTTATCTTGTAAGCGGTTGCTGCTGATCCGCGTCTCTCGTCGACGGCTTTATCTCCGGCTCATCGTCAATAAAATATATATCATTGTACGAGCGTTGGCAAAAAAAATAAATTGTATACGCGAGTTATAGCGGAACGGTACAGTAATTAGTCGAATCGCCGAACGTTAATGATTACGTGTCTGTCGGAAGGAATATCCTCGCGATCGGGTTAGTTGTGTGATTAATTCTTCTCGATTGCTTCCAGACCGGTCTCGCAGTGATTTCGCGCGCTACTCATGACGACTGATTAAATTTCATTGAAAGAAAAGGCCCGGCACACGAATGCCATGGAAGAACACTTTGTTGTCGCTAGGGGGCGCATTTTCACTTAATGATGACTACTAATCTCGAATAATATAAATCGTTCCCAGCGATTGTCACTTTTTTTCATTTTGGTCATTAATTGACCTTTTCGATACGAGCATCGACTATACGTAGTAAAAAAAAACATTTTGTACTTGTGTTAAAATCGGTCCCTGTTAAAATTTTTATGTTAAATTTGCAACTTTTAACTTTTAATATACTCCTGTATTAACTTAATATATTTTGTTTATTTTATCTCAACATTTTGTGTCGATATTTTAACACGTTTTATTCAGTATCGATCAACTTATTAATTTTAATATAAAAATTTGAATAGATTGTTTAGGATATGTGAAATGTATTAAATGTAATGTAACATTTTTTATTGTACATTCGACAGCCAACGTTCAACGCTCACATTTCTTTATCTGATTATTAATAAAATAACTTGAATGTCAAAGAATATTTTATTTTTGGTCAATAGCAATTTTTAAACATATCAATACATAATTATTTTAAATCGTACCACACACAAGATGCTTCGTGAGTGCTCTCGCAAAAGCGATTGTTATTTTAGCACGAGACCGTTGGCTAACTACGTGGAGATTACCAGCCGCGTATCGAAAAGGTTAATGATAATGAGAGTCGACGGTTCCATTCATAATGACTCTCAGAAAACTTTGCAAAAGAAGCTTATCGTATGTACACGTGAAGCCAGATCCTCCATGAGGACTACTTTTGCCGAGACGCGATGGCTAAGACGAAAGAAATTTCTCCGTGAACTTTACCGTAGAATTAAATATTCATCGAGCAGCGAACCATCGGGTTACTTAAGCGTTGCAATTGCGTGACGATCGTCACGAAGTCGCGCACGGTTTTTTGGAAGGAGCAAGGCGGAGGTGCGAAGAGACCGTAGGGCGAAAAAGCATGAAAAAAAAAAAAAAGAAGAAACGAGATAATGTTATTGCTAAAAACCAGCAAACTATTCTCCTAGATGCGCGTATACAGTACGCCGTAGCATGACTTTTCGTCGCATTCGAACGACAATTATTACAAAATAAAGGAAGAACGAGCATTATACGAGTAGCAGCTAACGTTAAAATAGAATTCTCTTTGGCGTTATTACACATATAAACACTCGAGTAGCCTCCGTTCTCGCGTTGTCGAAGAACAAAAAAGAGAAAGCATGTAATATCCGTTAAAACAAATAAAAAGAAGCATGCGACCATCTTGGGACTCTTATAGCGAATTTACCATTACAATAATATATTAATACTATTGACATATTGTTGAGAAAAAGGATCTACATGTAAATAAACATAAAGAGCATTTTTATAAATAACCGCCGTCGTCGTTCTCGTTATTAACCGACCCTCCCCTCTCCCCTCTGCCACCTTTTTTCTCGAAGAAGTACTTATATTATTATAACTGATAACCCAAGATGCTTTCCAGCAAGAAAACAGAGATAAGCATCGTGTCATACAATTGAACATAGTAGATGCTTGATGGAACGTCTTAATTTTCAAAACAGTCACTAGCTGGCGATAATGTACTACGTGTTAGCAAATATTACGTATATTTTCGAATAAAGCAAGTTTTGATCGCTTCAAGAGCGATTAATAGCGTCATGTAAGTCTCATACTAGCTGATTATGAAACTTAAAACTTAATTAATCGTTCTCTGAAGCGATTCAAATCTACTTCAAACGAGAAAGCTAATAATTTTATCGTTAATTATAACTTTTATTTATTACTGTCACCCAAAAAATATTTGCTGTCTGACAAAACATAAATGCTTTAGAATATCAATTTTACTATTTGTTAAAACTTTATACTTTTAGTATGTATTCTATACTTATACTTTCTTTTATTATAATATATCACATATGGAAAGGCTTAAAGCGTGAAATATATTCTTGCCACAAAGTGCCACAAAAAAAGAAAACAACTCTTCAGCATATTTTTAATATTACAAATGTAAAAATTATATAAAAATTACTAGAAAGTTGGCAGCCATGATACGGACACAAATGTTCGACTCTGCTCTGCATCTGTGTCGGCTTATGTCATGTTGTATCGTTGTAAGAATGCACTTACACTGACACTGTGTTACACTGTGCCAACTGTGTCTCTTGCTGGAAAGCTCCCTTAATCTAACTTAACCTGACGTCCCTGAAACTGCATATTAAAGTATTACAAAAGTTATCTATGTCGATATTCATTGAGTTTGTGATACTTTATCAGAATTATTAAAGGGTCATACTTAAAAACTTCACCAACAGAATACTGAGTTTCTATCCCTTTAAATATATTCTTTGTTTGTTTTGTTAAATATACCCTTGTATACAATGGCCGTGTTCAGCAGAACGTTTAGTTTGCAACCGTTGGAAGTTTCCTGTGCTGACATTGGATTAATTCCTGTAGATCTAAAAGAATAATCCAATCTCAGCTCAGAAAGCTTCCAATGGTTGCAAATTAAACGTTCTGCTGAACGCGGCCAATGTCAATGAGATTTCGCTCTAAACGTAAAATAATGAGTGCTGCAGATACTGAATATATCAATATGGTAACATCATATTGGAATAACGGCAACTTCGGCATGTTCTAATTCAAACGAGAAGATAAGCAATCGGTTGCTCCGAGTCCCGCTTTCAACGACAGTCATGTCACCGTCTCGTGACTCATATGTTCGTATTTAAAGTATCGCGAGTGAATAAACAACGAACTATCTTATCAGAGAGCACAAAAGTTCTGTTCCACTCACCGATACTGCACAGTTATCTTCGCATTGAGCTCGTCGCCGGAACGTAACGGACGCCGCAACCTTCACGACGATGTCCGTAAGTAGATCGAAACGACAGGGCCCACTTCGCACTCGCGGAATTTATCGCGTGTACACGAAGAAAACATCGTTTAAACGAGCGAAATCTCGTACTCACCGCCGTGCGTGTGATTAAATCGCGATGCACCGACACACCCGACCCGCAAATCCGACAAGTTCCAACAAGTCACGAAATTAACTGAAGTTGCTGCGCTACTGAATATCGTAACCGCCGAGTTTAGTGCCCGCATTCACAACGATGGTACGATTGGTAGAAAACGAAATGATTTGCCGCGATATTTAAATTTACCGGTCTAAGATGTTTACTGAGATGATGCATCGAAATTCTAACTGAGTTGATTTACAATTACAGCGATTATCGTATACGTACAGGGGTCTTATTGTCCCGGTATTCACACCTTTCACTAAAGATGGGTAATAATTTTGCATTCGTCAGCCTGAAGCAAATAATTAGTATTAGGTTATATGATAATATAATTAATATTTGTTTAAGATCTCTTAATTTGAGCATCGTATCTCGATATGGGAATTACTTGGCAGAGAAAGGAGTGAAAGGTATACTTGGTAAGCAGCTCTCGTCGTTACATAATATTAATTCTAATTATTTAACATGCACGAGTTGCATGAACAGCATATCAAATAACATGTTTTTCAGCACATTCCTGCCAATTCACTAAGTAACAATCATCTCGGATAAATTGAGTTAAATGTATTGTCATGTTTACTTAGAAAGTAAATTAGTAACTTTGCTTGACATATTTTTCTATTACAGTCAATGGTTCAAGCGGTGAAGGAACATTAATGTCGGTTAACGAAAGAAAACTTATCGCTGAAGCCTGGGTAAAGGTGGTCAAAGAAACGAAACAACACTTGATGATTCAAGTAGGAGGTGCTTCTCTTCCTGATGTCATTGAGCTTGTAAGTGTAATAGTGCTGTGAGAAAACTATAATGTGTAAAATCTGCTGAATAATATTCATGAAAACTGCAGGTAAGGTTGAAATAGCGATAGAAATAATAATTTTGCAGGCAAAACATGCGGAAAGTCTACATGTAGATGCCATTCTCTGCTTACCGGAGTTGTACTTCAAGCCCAGCACTCCGGGACAACTGATTGAATACTTGGAAATAATTGGGCAGGCAGCACCAAATACACCTCTACTCTATTATCACGTTCCCATGTTTACCAATGTTAATAGTGAGTAATCTCTTAATCTTTAATGTAGTATATTGCATAAGTATCGTACAAAAATGTTTTACAGTACACATGGGACAATTTCTTGAATCGATCGGCGATAAAATACCCACGTTTGTGGGTATAAAATTCACCAGTGCCAAGTTAGACGAGGGTGCACAAGCATTACATGCTGATAACAAGAAATATGTTATTTTCCTTGGTAATGATCAGGTGAGAATTGGCTCGATATTACTCAGAAACAAAAACTTTGTATTCCCCTTAAAACAAAAACGTCGTATCCCTTTAATCTTGATCTAAAGTAAATATATATATTTATTAATATATATTTTATAAGTATATTTTTATTATATTTTTTCTGTTTCGTTACAGTTAATGAATGCTGCTTGTGCATTAGGAATGGATTCTTTCATAGCCACCAGCATAAACATATTTCCAGAACTTACAATAGATCTTGTTGCTGCCAGCAAGAATAATGATACTCTGAAAGCTAAAAAGATGCAAGAGAAGCTTTCAAATGCTATACTTGCTATAGCAAAATATGGTAAATACAATATTATTTTTATACAAACATCTAGCAAAGTATATTATCATTAACGTGATTATTATATTACGTGATTATAGCTAATTGGGTGGAGTGTATGAAAACAGCAATGGTTCTTCTTACTGACATTGATGTAGGACCACCTCGTAAACCTCTTAAATGTCTTCCTTCTGATATTTTAGAAAACATGAAGACAGATTTAATAAAATTAGGATATGAACTTACGATGAAATATAACAAAGAATCAACAGTTTTATAGTCTCCAATAGACATATGTAAGCTATATAGCTTATGTTACTATTTTGTTTCTTGTATATTGATTACAGATTGTATATAGATTAAGAATATAATATATATATATATAATTATGTAAAAATATAGCCACCATAGAAAGAAAGAGAAAGAGGGAATATAAGAAAAAAGAGGAATCTTATATCTATTTTATGAAAAGCCTAAAATAAATAAATTAAGAAAAATATTTAACCGTGTTTGAGCATTTCGTTCAATTCATTTTAGTTTTAGAAAAGTTTTCGAAATCTCATTATCCGCCAGAACACTTAGTTCCGAAGTCTCCGCTACGAGCCGCCACCGTACAGACACGAGGAATCGAAGCGTAGTTTCAAAATCTTTCAAGCTGAGAGAAACCTGAAAGCGACCCCGTTGGCGTTGTATTGATACCGCATTTCACAATTGTTTGATAGGCCATTTACACATAAATACAAATACGTTATAACGTTATCAATAACAATATGTAAGGAGAAATATTATGCACGCGTGTTGAACAAAATATAAATCTGTACAACGTACAATGTGTTTTTTATCTGCAGAAATTATGGGTGTAGCTCGGACACGCACCAAATAGGAACTGTATCGACAATATCAAAAAATGAACGCAGCGAAATAGTTCTTAAAAATACACGCAGATGGCGTATTAAACAGTTGTGAAAGCGGATCAAGCAAAACGCCGGTGTGGTCGGTCACGTACACTGCTGTAATTGTACCGGAACAGAACAAGTGCAATTATCGGAAAATATATGTATAGTTTGATGTAACTGGATCGGATAGGCGCAGACCCTAGACTCTGTAAATTTTTATTATTAATAAGAAAAAATTGAAGCGTGATGCGACTCAACAATGAAATTAATCTTTTCTATTTTTCAAGTAGTATAACTCAAGGGCTGGGTAGACGCATTTTATTTGGTATTCAAACATAGGCAAAATTCAACGGACTGTAACTTTCGCAAAATTAGTGATTGCGACATGATTCGGAAAGCATTTTTAAAATTTTAAGTCTTTACTTTCCAGATATATTAAATTCATAATGTTATTATTATTTATTGTCAAGATATATCGAGTTTAACAAAAAATGGTGATTATTCAGTTCTCAACCTCATTTTTCAGTTGAATTTTTACACAGAAAATAAGTTGTTAGGAAAAATTTGATAAATGTATCTGGAAAAGGAAAGTTTATGCTTCTTATTCATTGCTTAGCAAATGTTCTATACCGATTCGTTTACTCACTGTAAGCGATCAAAGTAAAAATTTCATTTTTGCTTCATCATTAAATAAGTCAGTAAAAATACATCTCATCGTAGTTTACATATATGCAAATTAAAGGAGAAAGTTCATGCTTTAAAACTATTTAAATTCTATTTATCTATAATTTTTTATCTATATGGCACAACGCAACAAACTGTATTAAAACTCTTAATATTTGATGGTTCTCGATTTATATTTATGTAACATTGCAAAAATTAATTAAACTTTATATTCAATAACATATATAAAAACTAGAGATTATTGGCTATAAGATGTTTTTGGAAATACCTCATTATCCACATTTGTTCCAGCCGTTACAGCCTGTTAAATTTATGCCTATTTAAAAAATTATCGATTCTTTTTATAGATCGTAAAAGATACACAATATTCAATGAAGTGTAACTTTGATAAAAATAACGATAATAAAATGGTTTTACATGCATCTTAAAGCCTGAACTCTGTACTTTCCAGATATATTAAATTCATAACGTGATTGTTCTTTAATGCGAGATATATTGAATTAACTTGAGAAATGGCGATTGTTTAATTTATAACCTCATCCTTCAATTGTGGTCTCCTATTTCACAATATTATTTATATCAAATATATTATTAGGTGGTAATGAAGTTGTAACAAAATCTAACACCACTGCGTTGAAAAACGCATAAAATGAATTGCGTTCGAAAATACATTGAAATCTCTCTGATCAATTCTACAATGAAAAATAAATCGAATATCGATTAATCGGTGCAGTTTACTTATCCTCCTCGTGCGTGGCTTTTGACCTCAACAATGGCAACCACGAGTGTGCAGTGCGGCGATTTTTTAGAATTTCAGGTATTTCTGAGAGCAGTTACACATAACAGTTGTGCATTTATACACTGTGTTACGCGAATATGAGAATCATACATTTATTTAATAAAACTTAAGTTATTCCAAAGTAACAACGAAGACATTTACAATGCCGGTTAGTTATTTCATTTTTCTTTGTGCACAAATAAATATATCGTGACGGAGGAAAATTATTTAGACCTTGACAGAACGTAAGATATCAACATAATTATTTGATAAAGTCGCATCTGTATAAATTAATACGTGCACGTGCACCTTCATTGAGAGGTTAGAAAACCGCATACAAGATTTGCTAAAGTTAGCCGCTTTACGGAAAAAATAGACACCCATGTAACAATTCTCAAGTGTAACAATTCTATGTTTTAATATTATTCAGCATAAAATAAATGTGTATGATCTTATCAGGGTTATAATGTAACATGCTACTTGTTAAAAATATTGAAAATCTATCGAACGGGATTGTAACTGGTGTGAAAGCTCATAATATATATATTTCAGGATTTATTAAAAAAGATGAGACTAATAGACGATAAGATAATATATATGCTGAACACCACAATCCCAACCGAATCCTTCAAAGGACAAGTGGATCCTACTGCGCAGTGTAAAGACTTATTTCAGCAAATAGAATCGGAGCATGCTCATAGGGAGCGAGCGATCACTAAGTGTCTGAATGTCACTAAGGAGAAAGTGATGCACATGAAAAAATTAAAAGACAACGGTGATGAGAGTACGACACTTCTCAAGAATTTGAGAAAAGAACAGAATAAGTTGAGACTGTTGCAATCTGAGCTCAATATAGAAGAAGTGGTAAGGAAGCGTACAGTGCAGGTATATTATGAAAGATGCCGTGGATTTTACAAACCACCGCATATGGACACTTAGGAGCTTCCGAATAATCCGCTGAACGAAGGATCATTTGGCCACATCATTGGTTATTAGATTGTCCAATTGCTATATCTTTTGAATTGTTTACATATAGTTTCATATAGCAATCCTGGAAATATAGACAATTTATGACTTTATCAATTATATTTTGCAAACAAGCATGTATAGTACATACAAGTCCTTTTACGAGCGTTTATTGCATTTATATATCATCTACAAGGGGAAAAGTATCAAATAGATTGTACGGATTGTACGATCAGGTAATGTTGTATGTATTGCCAACAATCGAAATTGTTATCAATTATGTACATATAAATCAAGGTTCTCCACTTAAATAATACTTGTAATTGTACAATAGATTCGTATATATACACACACGTACACGGAGTGTATTTTCTCACCTGGTTATTGTAAGGAAACGCTGTTTTATAAGACGCTCGTTGTACATTACAAATACAAACAATCAAACCAAAAACGTTTATTGCTTCATGAAAAATATCATAAGTAATATCACTTTAAAATACCGGCAATGAGATTGTTTCACAACATCTCGTGCCCTTTCAAAAATATTGTATCCTAAATAATTCTAACTTATTTCCGCATTCATCGAGTGAGCGTGTTAAAATTTTACAATTTGGCGTGTCTATTTATTTTTATCCTTCTCTAGCCTTTCCTGTAACCACTGATCTCTCATCATGTGCAAATTTTCTCCCTTATCAGCTGCTCTTTTCCCAAGTATCACGGCACCTATGCAGCCGATCACGGCTGCAACCATTAAATAGTTAGTGGACTTAATTCGAGCTTTACTCCTCGAGTTTAGCAGACAATCAACTCTGGAAAAAAAAGTGAAATTATAAGCACGAAAGCGATATAAGAGATGAAAGAATCTAATTGCATTCCTCGCGATTCTGTAACTATCAAAGTTAGAGCTTTTGTCTACAAGGAAACTCAATTTTGAATTTGAAAATCTTATATTCTTGTCTTCGATTTGTACTTTTGCGCGTGCAATTGTAAATATTATAAAAATCGTAAATCTAACACATACGAAACTTCATCGGGAACTTCTGCAAAGCTGGGATATCGTTTTACCCAAACCAACAATCGCCTGTCAAAATTGGTTACGCGATGCATCTTCGTTCCTGAAACAAGGATACACATCTGTATCACGTTTTTATTGAGGAATGTTCTCCTTGCCTATATTTACCCACGATGGGATTAAAAAGGGAGAAAAGAACTCCGAGTTGCTGAGTTTCAAATTTTAATTTTTCAATATAAGATCACTCAACTGAAATCAATCACGTCAATTCTTAAATATTGACTACATGCTAAGAGTAATTATTTTATATATATATTTCTCTTAGTCTATGTATATGTTATATAAAACCTTTACCTAAGACTTCATCATTCTTTATGTCCCCACTGCTTTTTGGTACTTGATTGGATCGTGTAATACTGTTACGAGTAAACCATCTCGCTATTATGCGCGATTGGCTACTACGGACAAATTGTATGGACAGCATCCTGAAAAAAGAGAGAAAATAATTAAAAGTATTATTAATAAATGGAAAATATATATTGTAGGATATTATGTAAACCATCACATCACATAGGATTTGAAATCTATCTTTATTTCTTTTCTTTAGAGATTTAAAGTAAATTCAAATTACTACAAAAAATTGATTGCAAATTCGCTAAAGGAATTATTACTACAATACTATAAGTAGCTTTAAAGCACTCTACTCTCTGCCATGATCCTTTAGCCATTTTTTATGAATTTCTTTAGAGTCTACTTAGAATTTGTTTAAAATCTACTTGAAATAAACATCAATTAACATAACATCAATGTTATAATTTTCCACTCAACAATATAAACGCAATATATCAAGTATGTTATGTAATAGTTACATTATTGAATGGGAAGTTATAACATTGACGTTATGTTACTGATGATCAATGTTTACTGGGTACAAACATAAAGGATTTCTATTTGATAAATAAAAGTAATCACAACCACGCGATTTCGGATCAATCACAGAAATATTGCATCGACTCTACAGTCTGTTCAGCAGTCGATTTATATCTCCAAGTATAATACAGTCACATGGTACAGTCTACAAAATAGTGTAGTATAGTCACCGATTACAAACTATAGTCATCATCAGCTATGTTCGTTTATCACCTGAATGTCACAATGTCATAAAACGTTCACCCGCTAACCAGCGGAAGCGATTGATCTCAAATGGCGTCGCGATGATTTGATAACCAAGCGATTATCGCGCTATTATAAACTCGTTAAATATTGCCGGTAATATTTTTTGGTTATACACCTGTTAATAGGGGAAAGGATGTATGTGAAGCCATGATACAAAGTATATCAAAGTATATCAAAGTATATCACGTGAATCTTTCAACGACTAGAGTACCATAATAATTAATATTAGATTCGGTAAAGTCAATTTCTTTCATGCCAAAATTGCGCATCGAATTCGCGACATCTACGTAGAATTTGTTTGGAGATTCGATAGAGATCAGAACTTGGCGCGATCCGAGAACTGGCTTGAGATTCGAATTATTATTATGAGACGTGTAAAATCGATCCTTATGTCAAGAAGTCTCTACATTGGGTATAACACGCACTTTAGATAATTACTGTGCTCGAAGATAACCCGCATCCACTCCGACGTAACTGACGTTCGCTGACACTGTGACGCGCCGCCTGCCTCCCTTCTATATATATATATACGTACATAAATGACCTTGATTCGCAATGACGGAGCGGCTATTTCAAACATCGTTTACATTAGGGATTTTTTACACATTTACAGAGCGCATGATAAGTCTACTCAATTTTTTTATACGCTGATAAGTCTAAAGTATTTTTTTTAAACGACACTTTAGATAACACCTGATTTTCAACGGCAATCTGTCACTTCGTAGTCGCACCTTCCGTAAGAAAATATTGCAGGCGACTGAGAACAGAAAGTTGTACCACTCAGCCTCTGGGACGTAAAATTTAATAACGAAATTAAATTCCGTGTAATCTATCGGAGTGAATTGTTCTTCTTTCTCTCAGAATATTAATACAAACACTTATTGAAAAGTCGAACGAGAAACCAATGAAATGATTTTATCTTTTTCTCTGAACGCGTATTAATGCGTTGTAAAATGCGTAGCCAAAGATGGATAGTGATAGAAAGGGAAATTTGTCAATGAACTGGATCTTTACTTCATTTAACGCGCGCTCTGTTTAATTTGCCGACGAAATCTACCGGTAACAAACAGGTAAACTTTTCCCGGGATATGCAGTTTTAAAGAAATGTACGGACCTGAAGCGTCGCTACGTGACTAACGGCGCGTCCACCGAGATATTTCCAAGCAAGGGATTATTAACCGTCGCGTTACGGGTTTTATAAATGGGTCACGCCTCCGGGCATTACACGAGCGTTTGTTACGAGCGGACGTGATCAACGGCAGGACACCGCGATTCTGTAAAGACCACATTTCAAGTCATACACACGCTCATCATATCGCGGTGATTTACAGAACCTGGCTGGTTATCCTGAGACTGATCGCGCGCCTAAATCAAAGAGACACCTTGTGCAGCTGTTTATTTATTTCCTGTGAACGTTCTAATATCACTTTACTATGATGAACTTTCATACATTCTAGCGCTTACTCGGCTTCTTTTTTTACAGCAAGAATCGTTAAATTAATGTTATCTTACAGGACCCCGACACGCATTCGTTCTCAATTTATCATAACTATCAATGTCGTTACCAAGTAGAAAAACTTGTCAGCCCAGGCTGCATTAGAACACGCTTCTGCAGATCGGACAGGTGGACTTTTGACTCGTGTTGAACCATTTGTACTGCAAGGGAGGACGATTTAACGATATATTGTACGAATCTTGCGCGAAAGAACATAATCACATATTAATACAATGTAATATATTTACCAGACAAGGAGTATGGAACTTCTTACGACAAGCGTGACACGACAACTTTGGTATCTGGTATGTGCTGATGTGGAAAATACTGAAGCATATGTAGCATTCTTCAACGCCCGCGAACTTCTTATCCAAGTTGCGCTTCCACATTATGAGACCGTCCCAAACAGAGCCGTTCTGCAGAAGGAAATATAATAATATACAGATTCGTCAGGCCGTCGTAATTATTAGTAGCGCGAGCGTGATGTGCTTACTTGATGTGTGAGGAATATAGATAGTTGCATATGACAGTTCCGCCAGTTTGCCGTGCCGCCCGCGTGTTGGCCGGGCTCCACCGTAACGGTGCCCAACGGATGATTCGCCGGTAACACGATACTTAATTCCAGCTTGGTGTCGTCCATTTGGTACAAGGCGATTACCTCCCTCGCGGTCGGATGCACCTTCACCTGCGAACGACGATCCGAATGAGTGGTCGAATTAGAAAATGCCATAAGAATACATAAGAATTCTCGCAGAACCTACCTGCATATTTTCCATATTGACCAATCTGTTGTTGAGAAGCTCCTCCTGGCAGAGCACGGGACTGACGTAGTGAATCGTGATCTTGTCTATCGTTGCGCTGACTCGGCTGTCGGCCGTGCTCCACCATTGTCTAACTAACACCGGCAGGTGCCGCAGGCAGTTCGTGTACAACCAGCACACGATGTGGTCCAATCTCCACTCGGTCCAATTTTCTGTAGTAATACGTAACACGATGCGTAAAGCAATATAGTGTGTACAATGAAATATTTTGCGTATGCGTGCAATCAACCGTTAGTGATACCTCCGAAATTAAACGACGGGGCAGTGGTGAAGATCTCCAGCAGCTTTACAGCCTTATTTTTGTTATCCTGCAGAACCTCCACGGGCATCAACTTGAAGATGTTATTCAACAGACTGGGGAAGAGGTCGTTTCTAAAATTCATGATACACGTTCAGCGCAAGATCTCACGTGAGAGACGTGTGACAATCGTACATAAAAGTTTATTCCGCAACTGTCTTCTTCCGCCGAGGTTGGATTATTCCTCCAGATTTCAAAGAACGATTCAATCTCAGCTCCGAAAACTTCCGACGGTTACAGAATAAAAACGGTTCCGCTGAATACATAGCCGAATCTGTAACCACGAATGTGCTCACTTCAATATTTCAGCGTACTGATACCGCAAATCACCGTGAGCGTTCGCACAAATATCCAACACAACAGCCCACGCCAGCAGGTATCCTAATGTGTACGTGTAAGAGTCCGTGAACGGTTGAATCGTGCAGCTAACGGTGTCGCATAATCTGAAACAGAAACAAAAATGCACATTAGTAATGGTTGAGTTAAATTTTAAAAAAATTAAAAAGTTATAGCTGCCATCCAATCACTGGAACAAAAAACTGAAATAATGTTTCTCGGAAAAACGACAAAAAGATGACCTCTCAGACGTCAAAATAGTGACCAAAAATGATGGTTTTTGTCAAATTCTGAAAGTAACTAAGGCCATTTAAGCAAACCGGTTACATTTATTCTTACTTTTTCAGGTTTATCCTTGGACAACTTAATATATGAGTTTTTTCACAGTACAGTTTGAAAGTTCATAACAAGAAAACGGACTGGTACCCAGTAAACGAGTGGCAATTCGCAGGCAAAAATACACGCAGGACATCTATATTTTACAGATTTAAGCTGAGGAGGAAAAAAGCGACTGTAACGAACCATTTTGGAAGATAGTGAATTTTTTAGCGAAGAAAAAGTGACTTGTCAAGAAAAAGTGGCAAAGGGTGACTGGATGGTAGCGCTGAAATTAAAAATTGAAAGGCAGAAAATGACAGAACTACAACAGTCAATAATAATTCGATGAAAAAAGTAATTGGATACAAGAATCGTAAGCTTACTTGAACTCAATGAGCATCGCGTTCACGATATTCTGCGTGCTCAAGAGCACTTCTTCCAGTCGCCTGATGTTGAGACCGCTCGGCTCGAAGTTCTCGGACTCGACGAGGACCTTGTCCTGCTGGACAAGCTCCGACACCATGTGCTTCAGCATGTGATAGGCGCCCAGCTGGATACTGGGAACCGGAGAGCGCAACAGTTTCAGGGACAGTTCCAACGTCTCGTCGAAGTCGATGGTCTGTGTGGCCTCCCCGTCGTGCCTCTTGAAGAGTACGTTCTTGTCGAGCAGGCTGACCGCTCGCCCCAAGTAATCCAACACTATAGTGGACTTGATAACGGGCGTGTCCTCGTTGCGCCGGTCGGCGCAGAACCGCCAGGTCCGGGCGATGGAGCTGTGCACGTCCCAGGCGAATACGTTCTTCCACTCGTCGAGGAGCGCGGGGGGCAGCTCCGGGATCGGCTCTTGTTCGTGCTTGTTCATCAGAGTCTGCAACTCGCAATACAGCTGACTCGCCGCCGCTATCAACGCCGTCACCCTGACGTCGGTGTAGTTGCGCTTCGATTTGTCGACCGACTGCTGCCACATCGTGAGCGATATCAGCGTGAAATCCCAGTGCTCGGCCGTCAACCTCGCCGGAGCTCTTTGCACCAGAGTGCTCAGGGTCCTTATGACCTCCAGCGGCAGGAGTAACCGATCCCACGAGACGTCGGAAACGTCCTGGTCCAGGAGCAACGACGCCGGGTCCTCCTTGTGCTGCGACACGATCTTCCCCATCGCAGCGGTGCAGGCCGAACCGTCGTCCTCCTCCAGCCGCATCGCGATCCTCGTGGCGATCAACGCGCAGACAACGTTGCCCGTCGTTGAAGGAAGATCGGCCGGCGTGCAGAAATCACTCAAGACCTGCAGTCCCTGCACGCACGCCTCCTCGTCGCGCTCCCCTTCGTCCCGGCAACTCTCGTAGTACTCGACCGGGTTCTCACCCGGCTTGAATTCCGCGTAATACGTGCGGATCACGTAGGGCAGCATGTATCCGTAGCTCGCGTGATTCGTCCGTACGTAAGCCGGCACGTCACGGCGGATGCTCGTCGCGAAGTGCTCCTGCAGGCCGACGAAGCCGCTCCTGAGCGAGTCGAGGAGCTTGCTGACGTCGTTGTAGCGCTCGGTGGACTTGTAATGCCTGCTGTACATCTCCGCCACGGTGGCCACCTGCACGATGTCAACGAGGATCTCCGTGATCTCCGGCAAATCGAGCTTCTCCCGCGAGGATGCCTCGTCGGCGACGGGGCGTCGTCTCGACGACCTCTTCCGCCACAGATTGTTGAGCAGGTCCGCGGTGAACACCGCCCACTCCAAGCAGGTGGCCATACCGTCGGAGATATCGTCTCCGGTGACGTCGACGGACGCCCACCGCTGGAAGATCCGCGTCTTCCCCTGCAGACTGGACACGTGCAGGCTGCCCGTCGCAATCTCGCCGTAAATCGCGACGGTGGTCGCTTCGGCGGCCCACAGCTTGATGTCGGACGCCGTGAGGAAGAGCAGGATGGTCTCCCCGACTTGTCTCGACGGTGCGTGCTCGTTCTCGTGGACTATCACCTCTAAGACGTCCGTCGCCAGGTCCACCAGGATATCCCGGACGTGGGCGCTGTGTATCTTGCTCCAGATGATCAGCGCGCATCTCTTTACGAGGTCGTCGAAGTCGGAGGGCGGCAGATCGCGGCTGCTCTTGACGAGGCCCTCCTTCCAGCTGTCGCGCACGGTAGCGGCGGAGGCCGAGTCGCCGTCGTCGTGGCCTCGCGTGCACAGCTCGAACAGCGTCTCCAGGATCTGCACGGCGCTCGAGATCGTCCGCTTGTGGCTCCATATCAGCGTCATCAGGCTCGTGATGAACTCGATGAACCGCATCGGGCAAGCGTCGTCGGTGCCGCTCAGCGAGTCGCAGAGGATCGAGACGATCTCGTTCGCCGCCTCCTCGTTGATCAACGCCTCCCCGCCGGCCGAGGTCTCGAAGGCCAGGAGAATCAGACTCTGATTCATCGCCGGGTCGTCGCGCTCCGGCGAGGCGATCTCCCGGGCCACGTCGACCAGCAGCTCGGTCACGTCGGCTCGCGTGTACCATTCCTTGATCACGCGGTCCTCCCGGTTGCTCCTCGACAGGCTGGAGCGCATCACGCTCCGCGTAATCGCGATGTCGTTCAGCTCGACCAGCGATCTGAGAACCTTCTCCTTCTCCGTGTCGCTGACGTACGTGATGAAGCGGAAGATCAGCTCGACGATCGGCGCCATCGCGTCCGGATTCGCGAGGAGCAGCGGTCGCAGCCTCCGGTCGTAGAACTCGAAGAAGTCCTTGGTGAATTTGAACGACGCGGAGAGCGCGACGAACAGTTCCTTGCTCGCGAAGTGCCTCATGATCTCGTTGAGCGGGCCGATGTACGACGTGGACTGCCGGTCGTTGATCTTGTTGAAGTAAATCGCGCAGAGGGCGTTCACGAACTCGCAGAGCTCCGCGTTGAACAGCGGGTCCGTCTCGGCGGGCCTCTTCGCCTCCGGCTGCCTCGTCACGCTCGTGTCGTCCGGGCCGGAGAACTTGACCTTGAGCTTCTTCCGGCCGCGATCCGGCGCGTGCTTCAGCGTCAGCAGCAGCTCGATCTCGAGGGGCTGCGAGGCCGCGGTCTCCGTCCACGGTGCGTCCGTCAGCTTGTCGAAGAGGAAGCGCAGCTCGAGCCAGAACTGCCGGATCAGAGGCGCGTACGACTTGCACGCCTCGTTCGCGCGATTCTTGCTCCAGTATCGCAGCAGGTGGGTGACCTCGGTGAAGAGGAGCTGCCTCATCGGCGCGTTTTCCCTCATGCACGCGTCTATCACCGGCACGAGCTGGCCCCTGAACAGCCGGACGCAGAGAGCCACGTTCTCGGCGTTCACGAGGACGGAGTAACGCAGGCACTCGATGAAGGACGTCACCACCGCCTGCATCTCCGAGCGGCTGACTTGCACGCTCTTCACGGAGAAGCCTTGGCGCATGTTGTCGAAGAAGTTGACGTAGAGCTGATCGGTGTCGGCGCTCAGCTTGGGGAACTGGCTGACGAAGGGCAGCAGATTCGGGTAGACGATGCCGGCGCAGGACTGGCCGCCGGATCGCAGGACGCGCCACAGCTTCGGCAGCACGAGCTTGTCGACGCTCACGACGGAATACCAGTCGTCGAACTTGGTTATGGCCACGAGCATCGACTCCCACACGGCGGACAGGATCCCGGGCTCGGATTCGTCCAGGCTGTTCATGATCGTCGTCATGATCCTCTTCTTCTCGCCTCGCAACAGCCGTTCCGCGTTCTCCATGATCGATGTCAGCGCGTTGAAGAAGGCCGTCTTGATCGGCAGGCCGTCGTGTTTCGCCAGCTTCCAGAACTTCGAGCTGCTCAGGATCTTCTCGTGGATGCTCGAGGTGGTCTCGACCTCGCGGAGAGGAACTTTCCTGAAGTAAGAGCTGTACGCCTGCAGACTCGACACCAGCACTCGCTGGTACTTCGTCTCCATTTCCTCGCCGGTGAGCGACTTCTGCGTCGACAACGTCTGAGCCGTCCGCACGGTCACGTTGTCGTTGATGTACATCAGGATCTCCCACTGACAGTGGACAATCGCGCCGACCAATTTCCAGGGTGGGAACGTGCTGTTGAAGGAATTCGTCGCGGCCGAGGCGGCCGAAGGGTACGTGTCGTACTGAGAGGTGAACCAAGCGCCGGCCAATTGCTTCAGGTACATCGCTATGCCTCTGCCGACGCGCTTCACGACGGCCGCGTGCGCCAGCTGCACCGCCTCTCTCACTCGGTGGTCGATGTCGATGGAGAGGACGCAGTAGAGTCGCGGCCAAAACGGCAGCATGCCTTCCACCGCCGACAGCTCGGCGTTCTCGCAGAGACTCGCGAATACTTGCAACGCCTGTGCACACGGATTTGTTACTCGTTAGCGGTCCGACAGATCCGACCGTGTCTGTCGGACAGATTCTTACGGTCATCTGTGATGGAACAATCGCCAGCGGAAAGCTAGCAGGATCTGCGTCCTATTTAAATACATTGAAATAACGGATCCTGCTTGCGTTTCTACCATCTGCTTTAGCAGGTTCGGTTATCCGGGTTACGATGTTTATATCAGCTATGATCGACTGATAAACCGGCTAATCACCTTGTACTTTGTAGTGGCGTCTTTCTTATTCATCTTCTTCAGTACCACTTGGAAGCCGTAATCCACGTTATTCATTTCCACCTCATTCAGGTTACACAAGGCCAGACCGGGCAGAACAGGAACATAGCCTCCGTCCTTGACCGCTGAGAAGCCAACGAAATTGGGCATCGCGGTCCCCAGGAGTTCCGCGCTACGACTGCTGTTTGACGGCTGAAAAATGTCCAAATATGACGCAACGCTGCAAATACACACAGCGGTCAATGTAATGCGGAATCGTACTGTTAATAAACGATGCGACGGAGGATAATATTGAAAGCGAGAATATATATCGTCATATGCATATTATTCGTCCGAGTAAAAGCTGAGAAACGACGACATATGCCAGGAACGAGGTTCAGAAAAATGTCAATACAGGTTATGCAGTTGAGAGGCATCGTTTATGCGTCATTTACACCCGAACGGTCGCGCTCAAGTCCGCGCTTACCCGTGCATTATTCTTGGTCCGTTGCGCCTGCTTGTTTTTACCCATGTTGACGCTCCGGCGACGAGCTCCGAACGCTTTTTCAACACATAAAAATTTCCAGTCCGCCCTACGTGTCGGGTGTCACGTTTGCGTCAGCTGATAAGCTAACCTCAAACGTGCGTGCGTCAAACTGCACGCGACAGCGACGTGAGTCGATCCTTCGACTCTCCCTTTCGACTCGCGCTTTCTCCGTGCGTCATAATCCTGAGACGTGGTGTCGTATCTCAAAGGAGACACATCCTCGTAGAAGAAGAAGAAGACGACGAATTGTAAAACGAATAAAAACAAGTCCCGACTGATCGCAGGAATACAATATTCGTCGCGGCGAGATGAATGTCGGACGCAAGACCGAGCAGAGGCTGCTGCTGTCTTACTGCTCCTTCACCTGCATCTACTTCCCCGGCATCCTGATATTAGCGAAATTCAACGATAATCTGTACAACGTCGGCAAGTACAAGTTCCTGCCGGTGCTGCTGATACTCGTCTTCGCCGAGGTGATAAAACTGCTGTTTCCCATGGTGCAAACGGAGGCGCCCACCATCGTCAGGATCGAGCAACGGGCGTCGCCGAAGGCGAAGAAGTCCTGGTCGAGGAGTCTCAGGGAGCTCTTCAAGTTCTCGCTCGCCGCATTCGCGCTCTCGGTGGTTTACTACATCGCGATTATCCTGTTCGGCGCACCCGTGCTGACCGATCACGAGGAGACCACCATGCTCGTGATCACCCTGCTGACTCTGACCTTGGTACCCACCAGCCTGCACCTGGGCGTGGACAATGCGTTGGACGTGCTCATGGGAGCCTATTCGCAGAAGGGTAACATCCTCGTGGACGCCCTGAGGATCAACATACAAGCGACGATATTGGGCACGTGGCTGGGCGCCACTGTGATCCCCCTCGACTGGGACCGCCCCTGGCAAGTCTGGCCGGTCCCCTGCGTCATAGGCGCGCTGTTGGGCTACCTGGTCGCACATTTCATCACCTTGATCAGGACCCTTCCCGCGCTCAAACTCCACAGAAAGGTTCACCGATAATGCAGCGGACAACCGAATGTTATCGCTGTAACTCACTAAGGACGCTTGTTTCTTAAGCCAAGACTATTGTTACGTCAGTTGACTGTTATTATTGCATTCTCTAAGGGGCATCAGAGATAGCGGAGCATTAATTTATTACTCTACATCTCCGATTCGTGTGAACCTGGTGCGTCAGACGTTGCCCGTTGATTGTTATCGCGATGAATGCACGAGTGTGAATGACTGAATTGAGATTTATAATCATACTCTAAATAATATAGTATTATTACATAGTAAATAGTATATGTAAATAGTATAGTATTTTATAGATCATATTTTATAAATTACAACAGTATTTACATACCCAGTAAACAATCAGTCAGCAGTCTGATGGCAGATTCGAGCAGGATCTGTCGACAGATCCACAGTTATCTGTGTCTGCAATCCGCTGTCGGTCTGCCGACAGAGCTTGCTGACAGACTTTGACAGCAGATTGGCGGCAGAAAGCGAGCAGGATCTGCAGTATGTTCCTTTTAAATGCATTAAAACGACAGTCCGCCGGCAGTCTGTCATCATAGTCTGCCATCAGATCCTGTTGCATTTCTGCTGACAAACCGTCCGCAGAGTCTGCAGCACGTATTGTGCAAAATCTGCTCCTGCAAGTTTGACTATCCAGGTAGTTATATAGACTGCAATGTGAACAATTTTTTCTATCCATACATGTATATATACGTATGTAATAAATTTTACACCAACAGTACAGCCAGAAAAAATGCGAATTTCATTGATACAAATTTATCGGATTTATTGATACGGTGTTCGTACGACGATATTTTCCCCCACATCAAACTTTAACCTTTATGTCAGCTATATAACGATATGAATAATATACAGAAAAATAACACAGGTATACTGTTATTTGTACGTATTACATGCTCTCGTTGGTTATATCATTAGAAAAAAGACCGTATTACTTTAAATATTTTATAAAAAAGATAAGCGCAGCATAATTTAAAGCCGGTTTATGTAACGTTGAAAAAAAACGCTTGACTTTGGATTATCTTTGCTCTCCATTATCGAGGTGACCAATGAGCGTGATTCTTTGTTATCGCGCAGTCGCAATAGTTCACAAGAGCAACGGAGTGTCTAATTGACGATCATACGATTCTTCGCTAGTATTTGCCACGGGTGTTACTTTTTTCTCTTAGACTTTTGGTGTAAACAGCTTCCAGAAACACTTCAAATCGAACGGGTGTACAGTGGATTCGAAAGAACGATGTCAGACACAGTTGGAAAGGTATAAGTTGGTGCCAATTTCAGCGAGTTTATGCACTGTCACCAATTCGCCGGTTTATCTTTCATTATTAATTATTATTATAATTTTTCACTCATGTTTACTTAACATTTATCTTGCCACATATTATTTTCTCTTTCTCCCCCTTTCATATCTTCATCACATCATCCAACCTCTTAATTGAACATCATCTACTTTGATGATATTTTATATACTCAATACTAATAATTTAATTTATACCAAATATTGAATAATTTAAATTTATTATTATGCCAGGTCATCAAATGTAAAGCTGCTGTGGCGTGGAAAGCAAAGGAACCTTTATCCCTGGAGGAAGTCGAAGTAGCACCGCCAAAAGCACACGAAGTTCGCATTAAGGTAGCAGCTATAGCACTTTGCCATACAGATGCTTATACTTTGGATGGGTTGGATCCAGAAGGAGTATTTCCCTGTATACTTGGTCATGAAGGCAGTGGCATTGTAGAAAGTGTCGGCGAGGGTGTCACTGAATTTCAATGCGGTATGAGCTGATTACGAGACAATTGATTTTATATCAAATTGTTCTATAAATTATTACACAGATCTTATCATGCTCAGATTGTAATCTCTTGTGTTAGCTAAATTATAGCCACCTAACAAATTGTATTGTGTATATAAATAACTTACAGGTGACCATGTTGTGCCGCTTTACATTCCTCAATGTGGAGATTGTAAGTTCTGCAAGTCGCCAAAGACGAATCTGTGCAGCAAAATCCGTGAGACTCAAGGCAAGGGTCTAATGCCAGATGGTACTTCTCGTTTCACATGCAAGGGACAAACAATTTCACATTTCATGGGCTGCTCTACCTTCTCTGAATATACGGTGGTGGCTGATATTTCACTTGCAAAGGTATTATACTATACTTTTAATGATCGGTAGAAATCTTTTCAGAATGGTAAGTTGACATTTCACAATTGTCACGAACACTATTATAGGTTACACCTGAAGCACCGTTGGACAAAATATGCCTCTTGGGCTGTGGCGTATCTACAGGCTACGGTGCGGCTCTGAACACTGCGAAGGTAGAGCCTGGGAGCACCTGTGCTATTTGGGGCTTGGGAGCTGTCGGTCTAGCTGTAGCACTCGGCTGCAAGAAATCTGGCGCATCTCGCATCATCGGGATAGATATCAATCCGGACAAATTCGAGAGATGTAAATTATTACGACAAGAACAGTATGAATGAATGCCGAAAAGTGTCGGCGACTTTCTCGTGTAATCGCAAAAGATATGGTGAAATTTTACAAACATCCTCGCATATTTATTCGCAGCTAAAATCTTCGGATGCACCGAATTCGTTAACCCCAAAGACCACGACAAACCCATCCAGCAGGTGTTAATCGAGATGACTGATGGCGGGCTAGATTACACCTTTGAATGTGTCGGAAATGTAAACACTATGGTATGGCGGATTTGTTGTTTCGTGTAAAAGGGAAAAACAACAGTTCGGTGTGAAAAATGACTTTCAGAGAGCCGCGTTGGAGTCCTGTCACAAAGGATGGGGCACATCCGTGATAATAGGAGTAGCACCGGCTGGACAGGAGATTAGTACGAGGCCATTTCAATTAGTCACGGGTCGAGTATGGAAGGGAACTGCATTCGGCGGATGGAAGTCAAAGCAGAGCGTACCAAAACTGGTGGATGAATATCTGTCAAAGAAATTACTTCTCGACGAATTCATCACGCACCATTTCCCGTTCGGAAAAATCAACGAAGGGTTCGATCTGTTGCATTCGGGAAATTGGTAAGTTCTCGGGAAGTTTACCGTTGGACACGAGACGCGAACAATTAAATTTATAGAAATTTTCAATTTGAAAAATGTTAAAAACTTACCAATTTTAAATTACTATAAAATGTAATTGCTTAATTTTTCCTCCCGCAGTTTGAGAACCGTCATCAAGTTCCAATAGTATGGTGGCCTACTGATTTTGATGTCTTCCGTGATTTACAAAAAGAAAATATACTCGATGGGGGACAAATATAAATATGTGTTTCTGGACTTTCTATCGTTTGCTATGTTTTGTATGTATCAAGTAACAGAAACAAATGAAATATTCAATAAATTTTACATCTAGCTTACCATAACGTGGTCTCCCGAAACATCATCCACCCGATTTCTACAACAATCTTTATTCATAAAGAATTCTTACAGCCACATGTACAATACCAATCAAGTGAGATATTTACGGTAGCTCTTGAATGAAGTAAAAATTCTTTACGCCTTGATCAAGTGCATACCTTACAAAAATCATCACGATACGAAGGTCACTGACGATGATTTTCTCATTGTATATAATTATGTATATACAATATGCAAGACTCGATAAAACTATTTATGTTCGCTTGTAGTTTATATTAATTAGTCTAGATCGACATAGTACAATAAGTCAGGCGGAATGCAAATTGCGCTCGATGCAGGAAGGAGTATGCGTTAGCTCATTGCGGACGATGTCGTTTATCAGTTAAATATGTAGATATAATTCTTTCTTCTTTCTTTCTCTTTTTTTTTTTCTTTTCAAGTGTGTCATCTACATACTCTCGTATGCGCAGGATTAACACGCCATGTCCATTAAGGCAAGACATTATGGATGAATCGACAACGATCAAGATACCTCTACGTTTCGAATATAACGAAAGACAAGACGCAGGGCTGCAATTTCTCGCTTATAAAAATAGATAGTCGAAACGATAAGTGTTGTCATGGTACTGTGTGAGAGTAAACGGAACTAAGCGTATGTAATCGATAGGAAAATGAGATAATTACACGAGAGACGTTGCACGTTCTCTACGATGTCTTAATCAAATACCTCAAATACGCGCTATTTTGCCTTTGATCCGTATGTGATGAGTATTATTTTCCCTGAATGACCTCGCAGAAGGAATGCATGTCGCGCGAAGTGAGACGCGTTAGGCTCGCAAAATGAATCGTCACTTTCATCATTCTAAATGAGACACGTGTAATTTGCATCGGCTATCTCTACGTAAATTGCCTTCTCTAACGCTAGGGGCATATTCACATAGTCACACTGATCTTTTTTTTTTTGTTTATCTTTCTACGGATTACATGTTAATATCTAATATCTACGGTGTACCACACACTCTTTAAGTAAAAGTTGTAAGTAAAAATGCTTATAATTACAGTAAATGCAGACGAATCACGACGTCGAACATTTTCTAGCTTCGTAGAAAACAACCTCTCTCTCTCTCTCTCTCTCTCTCTCGCTCTTTCTCTTTCTCTCAATGTCGCGTGATGGATGTTGTTCCGATTGCGCGTGCGAAAAATCGTGATGCGTATATATATCTTTTTCTCTTTTTCTCTTTGCAAATCGGGCCGCACGATAATATATGGAATGACAATAACACACCCGTTTCCCGTTTTACTTTTAAATAAGCGACCTCTTCCAGGACAACCCACCAACCCTCGACGTCCTAACACGGTCGTGATTGAACTGCGGTGTAGTATGAAATAGGTCGTTAGCGAGTACGAAATAGGTCGGTCTTTATTCCGTGTAATCTTACACTATAACCTCATGGTAATAACGCAGGGTGGCTACGAGAGAAAGAAGAATAACTTAAGAGTGCGCTCCGAGCTCGTCCGAGAAAGAACGTAATAAATAAGCGAGATTTTCTCTCTATTACCGCGTTCGGCGAAACACAGCCGAAAGTGAAGTGGCAAGAGCTACGGGAAATCTATCTTGTTTCGTGGATCAACTAAGTTTCCAAGCGGGTGCAAAAGCGCGAATGAATTCGTTTACGCTCGCACCTTTACCCCGTTACTCTCTCTCTCTCTCTCTCGCTCGCTCGCTCACTCTTCCTCACAGTTAACTTGATTCCACACACGGGTTGTTGCATTGTATCATGTAAATCATAATTGTCATAATTATCATGTCCATGTGACGTTACGATCGATATCTCGAGTTAATCTAGCGGTTAGAAATCATACACGGGGCGCTTTACTCGTGTTTCCTCGTTAAATGTTAATTTTGCGTCAGGACGCATACGTGAAGTTCTGGCCGATGCGACGAAATTATCCCGTTCCGTTCTCCGCTCCGTGTCCAATGTGTTCCTTCCTCCTCCCTCTTCCCTCTCTCTCTCTCTCTGTCTGCTACTGTTTCGTGAACTGCTCTATTTTGTATACGCGTAAATAGTTCGCAATTATGGTATTTATAGACGAGTCATGCACGCATGGAGGTGGACTTCGATGGACGCAGAGATAATTCGCCGGTATTCAGCGCAGCTCGCAAATGCGGAATCCTCTCTCCCTCCCTCCCTCCTCTCCTCTCTCTCTCTCTCTCTTTCCGTCACTCTCACTCTCTCGCTCGCTTCGTCGCCGGCAACAACCCTTACACGCATTTTCGGTCGTATTTGCGTATTCCCTACACGGACTATCGGAACATTGCGCGGAATTACGATTGCACGGGATCTACGGCATTCGGTGGCGGCGAACGTCGTTAGTCGGACGCGCACGGTTTATTACTGCACGACAGACAAGACACTCGCTACTTTAACGTCGATTAGAGAGCTTCCTAATTGGGACGAAGGACACGACTAAGGTCGTACGACGGTGCGACGATGATCTCCCCTCCCCCCCCNCCCCCCGCCATCTCTCTCTTCCTCCTTCTGTCCGATCATCCCGTCCCCCAACCCGTATTTGAACCCTCCGTTATTTAGTTAAATCTCGTCGTGCTTTTCGTTGCTTTCGGAACTCATTGCATTTAGGCCCACACGTTTCGTTTAATCGCGCGTGGATCGCGGCCGATCGACGGGCGGCCCGGCGACGTGGAACACCCCCGATCACAAACGGCGGCACACAACCCGGAGAGCCGGCGAACGATCGGACGTCGCGCATGCCCGCTCCTCGCGAGAGAGGAACGCTGCCTTCCTTCCGATCGCGCAGTCGGTACCGCTTATATCGGTTAAAGTGCTGCGCTCCTGTTGCTGGCCGCCGTTCCGTAATGCGTCTAAAAATCTAACGGTTGATCGGCCGAGCCTTCGAGGTCCTGAGCGGAATCGGTGCCACCGTCCTCGTCGTCGTCAAGGTCCACGCTGTTGGTCTTGAGCCCGCCGCTGCTGATCTTGTTCACGATCGCGTCTGCGAAAGAACGGCCATTGATCAGACGAAAGAAGGATGAAGAGATGCGGTGACGCGAACAGAGTGTTTCACCCGCGACTGCTCTCGGCCGATTATTTAGCGTTGGGTTGATGCAAAAGTTCGTTCTGCTCTTAGATAAAAATATCTATGCGACGTTTATTTATTTTGAAATGCAATTAATCAATAAAGCGTGCGTCGATTCATTTGACGGCTCGTCATCCATTCGGTAGTTGCGTGATCTTGCGCGCTCGTAGAAATTCTGGGATTTCTGAGCGAAGAACTGATTAATCCTTTAGCTATTACACGAAAGGCGTACGTAAACAAGGTGACCCAAATCAACATATAAATTTTATGAAGGCGTAGAACGGATAGAAGTGAGCAAAAAAGCATATTGATGCCCGTCGCTAAGTACAACAGTTGTACATATACTTGTAGATTAGGTCACTCTGAACAAAAAAGTTTGTTATCATTTTGCAAACAGCATGCAAAATTTCGAGTTATTAATTATTGAAAATGGCCGTGTATAGAAGCTTCTTTTTGATTAATAACTCCAAAATTTGCGTGTTGCTTGCAAAATGGTAAAGAACTTCTTTGTTCAACTCAATCCGTCCCACGTCTTCACCAAGTTTGTCCCTGTTAGTCCGGGACGTCCCTGCATACGTCCTGAGAAAATTAAAGCTCATTTACCATATATGTACGTCCAGTGAATTTGGCTTAACATTAATTTTCTTATTGAAATGATGTCTTCATGAACACATCGCGTCGCTTAGCACCGATAGAAACAAATGGATATCTCGTTATACATCGAGCGCGTGAATTACAGCTCAGCGCATAAAAAGTCAGTTCGTTTGATTTTTATGACACACTGCAGCAACCGTCTTGCGACCGTCGTCCTCTACACAGCGGACGATTGTTATCTGAAGTGCACCGTAGCTAAAAGTTTGAAAATCGAGACGAACTTTTGCATCGATCCGATAGAATCTTGACTTGAAGAGAGCGTACTCGATTGCGGAAACTTGAAAATTGCGCTAAAATGCGATCCCGGTGAAATTTCCGCGGGGAAAATATTGACCTGTCACGCGAAATACCATTTTATTCGCCAGATGCTCCTATTTATTATCGAATACAGCATATAAATGCAAGATAAATTTGCACAAATCCGTGAGATTTAATCGCCGAATTTTCTGCCTCTTTGATTATTTTCTCGATATACCGAAAGCGTTTATTGAGATATATTTCGATATATAAATATATCTTTTTATTTATTACGTAAGCGCCGCTAATACATACCGCAGTCGGGCTTCGCGCCGCGCGTTCTGGTGCCAGCGAACTCGACGCCGTGCGGATCGACGCACCAGCAGAGGCCAAGGCCACGGTGGCACTGAGTGCTGCGGTAATATCCTCGCGAGTCGCAGGCAGGTGCTGAATCCGGCGATGATCGTCTGCGAACTGCGGCGCACGGGCGCTCGGCTTTCGAGAAGCAACCGCACCACTCGGGCCCGCTCACAAAAATGTCGCTGGAAACACACCGCGCGTCACAAACTCGCCACTTTCCAAAATTACACGCGTCCCAGTGCGACAACGTCGTTGTCGTCGTCGAACACGCTCCCATTTATCGTCGCGCGTAACGTGCAACGTAATATCGACATATACAGGGCGAGCCAATATTTTACCTATTATTACCTTGATTATCTTCGGAATTACGAGATCGGGAGGGAAATTTATCTAACAGAAATTACATTATGGAAGGGATCGTTTTATGGTGTTACCATGCGACGTTTCTTTTCTAGTAGTTTCAGGGATCTGAAGGTCAGGATTTATTTTTTTTTTATGGAATGATAGTTTTTTTGTTTTTCTTAACATAAATCGATTCCTATGTTCATTCTGCGTATAAAAGTATTAGAGTGAGATCACTGAAAAGTGAATACTTTCTGAGATATTTTACTTCTTATCCTGATACTTTTCAATATAAGATATGAAATATTACGTGAAGTATTCATTTTTCGATAACATCACCTTGATATTTTTATACGTAGACTGACAGGTGAAATCGATCGCTGCGAGCAAACATAGAGAGACCTAAAAAAAATGCGTTGCATTTTGCAAATACGCCAATGATTAATATCAGTAATCGATTTCTTTTATATTATTATACACAAAAGTGTTAAGATAATGTTATCGAAAAGTGAATATTTTATGAGATATTTCATATCTTATCCTAAGAAGAGAGAGAAAGAGAGGAATCGATTTACGTTAAAATAGCTATACGGGGAAAATATTGTAGCAAAAATGATCACAAAATTCTGTAATGTCGGACTCTACCGGGATTATAAGTGAAATTATTATGTATGTTGTAATCTTTAGTGATATATTTCATTACGCATCACTAAAGATTACAACACACATAATAATTCCAGTCATAATTCCGATATAGTCCAACGTACGAAATACAAAATTTCGCAGTAATTTTTATTACAATATTTTTTCCGAATACGATTCCATAAAAAAAAAAACTCCATAAAAAAAAAGGTGAGATCTTTGAAGCTACTCCGCCCAAAAAAAAGCGTTACAATATCATAAGACGACCGCTTCTGTGCCGTGCAATTTCTGTTAGACAAATTCTCTTATGTCCATAGTTCCGAAGATATTCGAGATAGTTACCGCCACGTATACGCCGGAGATACATACACGGCGGTTAAGAAATAATATATACGGATTATAGAAAAATGTTGTGCACGAAGTAACACAAAATGTGCGATATTTGCGGAGATAGGAAGACGCGCGAGCAGCAAAAAAGATTTATGACGCGCGCAGACCGGAGGAAAGAAGCGGTATTTACATATCAGTCGACACACGGGGCACGCGTTCCGACGCGAGGCAGTAGTAACATCGCGCGTATAGCCAGACCGGATCCGGCGCGCCATACATCTCTCTCTCTCTCTCTCTCTCCGCGCCGGCACATTCTTCACAGTTGACATTTCAAAGTTAACGTCTGCGCGTTCAATTTCCATATGCGCCGTGTGCGGCAAGCGTGTTATCGTCTTTGCAAAGAACGTATGTTCGTACGTAGTGCGAATCTATCGATCGATCTTATCTCGCGCGTTCTCACGGTGCGCGTCTATCGTCGCGGGGAAGTCGCGGGGCGCACGCACAGGGGAGAGAGTGCCGAGTAACGTGAAACCGTCCGATCGTGAAAAGCGTCTCTCTGTCTCTCTTTTTCCGCGCGCGCGCACACACCATCCGCGTAAAGGCATCCACGAGTGACTCTCTCTCTCTCTCTCTCTCTCTCTCTCACCTGTCGGTGTCGCAAGCGTCCAGGAAGGGCTTCAAGCACGGCTCATTCTGATCATGTTCCAGCCCGTACAGCTCGGAGAGCGAGAGCCGGCCGTCGCTGTCGCTGTCCAAATGCCCGAACATCCACCTGACCTCGCTCTGACAACCGATCGGGAAGTGACCTGAAATCCATTCAATGCAATATCCTTCTTTATCGTAGCCGCTATTTACCACATGGCGCCTGCAAGTAACGCAAAAGAGGATCAATAAGCGCTTTCATACGCGGACAAGCTGGCGCGAGTCGGGTCGTGCGATAATCGATATAACGATAAGCGAGAGGAATCGCGTTATCGGCGATCTACAAATACACGCGGGAAACGCACACGAGTCGTGAAACGCCGAGAGACGGTCGCGCCGATCGAGATTCCCTCGGTTCAAAAGACCGCCGCCGAGAATCACACAGTTGAGGAGAAGATGGTATTATGGTTCGCCCTGGTGGGTATTACGGCCTCCTTAATATCTCCGCTGTTTAGTGAGGAGTTCTGGCGATTACTTGCGGAATCATTTGTTTGCAAATATGACAATGCACAATAGGCATTTGTTATAACGTATTTTCACCTTGGAGTATTTCGGAACGTTTTCAAGGCACACTTTAGCATTTAATATTACACATGCTGCCTCATGTTTCTTAAACTCGGGCGTACATTTGACTGTTTTGTTCGTTATTTAACATTTTATTCCGCTGTATATACATTTTGAGTTACGCGAAGTTAAACAATGGTATTTTGCTAATTTGCCCTCCTCCTCACGAAAATAGGTTTAATGCGACCTCTTTCCGGAGGTTTTCATGTCGAAGTAGTTTATTCGATAAGTCAATAATCCAAGTTAATTTTAAAAATCGATTTGTTTTGTAAAAACTGCCCTTTCGACAGTTTGAATCTACCTTCTAATAAGCCAATATCTATATTAAAAATTCACAGTTATTATCATTGGTGTTTCTTCTAAGAGTTTATTTCGAATAAATATATCGTTTCGACTTATTCTGCAGGGTCGCCGCATTTTTACAAACAACATTTTACGTAATAAATATTTCATAACTTTGAGTCTAGAATCGATTAAACAATATTTTGACGAATGTAATCATAAAATTTTCAATCTAAAATATTGATTGTTGACGAAATTATACAAAACGTAAATGGAAGACCATAATAATATCTTCTCATCTATGTTCGTAAATAGAAAAGAACCGATTAACGCGATTGATTTTCTGCTGAGGACCGGAAAACTCGATTGTGGGAACAGAATATAATTTTAAAGTTCCGGTGGAAAATATTTTTCCATGATTTTTCCGCGAATTTCCTTGGCTTCTTATACCTTCTTTACGAGAAAAACTAAATATGATAGGCCTTAATCGAACATACGTGAATTTTTTTAAACATATTTTTGCACTCTCGGGACAGAAACCGAAGATATGCGCGGAAAAATTGCAAAAAAAAAACGTTTCTTTTCCAAAACGTTTTAAAACTACAAAACAGGAAAATTCCCCCGGGAGATTTCCATTCACGGTCAATTGCTCTCAGTTATCTCAGCCGAGTTTTAAACGCAGCCGAGAATACTCAGACGCATACCTTCGATGGTCAACGGCGACAACGGAGATATCGTTTCCTTGTCACCGAGTTTTCGACCGATCTCCCTATTCTGTCGCGGGAACTGACATTCTTTTTCCCGTGTAGCCGACGTTTTTCGAAAGTAGGACGGAAAAACAATGATTGGAAACATGTTACCCGATATTACCGTGACGTTACCGTTGTCGCAGCGAGCAAATTCCGAAAAATAACAATTTATCCGGCGTACGTGGGGAAACCGGACCCTTAAGCGGAATCCTTTAATTGTTACAACCCCCGGACTATTTTCCCGTTGTGATTCAAGCGTGTTTAGTGAAACCATCCCCCCCCCCCCCNCTCTCTCTCTCTCTCTGTCCTCTCGATTCAAATGGAACGCCCGGTGCAGAGCTACGCGCATACTGCACTTTGTTTCGCCTCGGGCAACGTAATACCGTAAGATCAACACAGAAGCGGTACCGTGAGGACAATATCGACAGACAGTGCCCAAAGTAATCGCGACGTACCTAGGGCGGGAAACGATTCATTGTACGGGGACAATTTCGAACTGGTACGAAACTGATTGTCTCGAAGTCGAATGGCGGGTGTGCACTGTCGGTACTTCGAAACTACCGGGTAGATCGTACGTCGCAATGTCCATCCCCTTCCTACGAGGACAATTAGTCTCTCTTGTACGCGGGGATCTACGCGACGTCCCGTGGGAACGTTTCAATACGCTCCGAGCACATTCCGCGGTTATGCGCGTCGCCAGCTGCTTAACGCGACTTTTGCCCGTGCCACGTAAAATGTTGGCGCCGGGTTTTATTCGACGAGCTTCGTCGAGCTTTTAATCAGCGACGAAAATTAAAGAAAAAAACTGTTTCGGCAAATCAAGCGAGCGAGAGAGAGAAAGAGAGAGAGAGAGAGAGAGAGAGCACGGCACGCGCAACAAAAGATCGTTTCTCAGTCAATTTCACGTGAATTGCAAAACAAAGGGATTTATTTGTCGCTTAACTATATTTCGGTCCAGCGCGATGTTTAATATCAAAAGATATTTAACGTAAAATATCATATAATCGACAATGGACTTCGATGGATTGAAGTTTAATGGGAAAAAAAAATCGGTGGCTGCAGTGAGTCGTGACAGTTTTAAGATTTTTTAAGTACTTCGGTTCAACGGTGATATTTAATATTTAACATTAAACACCATGCAATCATCAACAGGGACTTTGATTGAATTTTGAAGCTTAATTGAAAAGATTAATTAAAAAGAGAAAATCGGTGGCTGGAGCGAGCTGTGATCGTTTCCGGATTTGTTCGTGTAGGAGGGATCCGCGTACATCATTTTGTTTTGCAAAATAACCGTATCGACGCCTCGGAAATATACATGTATATGTATTGAAATTTGCGCCGCAGGTTCTGCCCTACCTTTGGGCTTGGGATGCTGACGACGGTGTTTGGAGTCTGCCATCACGACGGAGAACCAATCCAACAGACGATTGGCCATCGCAGGCTTGGACGACGACGGGCAATCCGTATATCTGGACGACGATTGCACGTTATACATCGCTTTCAACGGTGACTGGGTCTTGTCCATCACTTCGTTACTCATCAGATGCTTGTCGTCGTACCTGTTCGCATTAACGAGAGCCTGTAACATCAAATGTACTGGTAAATCGTCTGCGTGACGCAGCATGTACGAGTACGGCGAGTACGGCGCGGAAACACGAATTTCACACGTGGGTCCGTTGCAAAATGAAACAAAAGGAACGATATAACCGCGAGTGCGATACAATCGATGCCTTAATTTTACCGCCTCCAACGTCGTAAATATCATGTCATCTCATTAGTATTTTCCGCGACAGAAATTTTAAACCGTAATCATATTTTGCCGTTGTAATTTCTCCAATAATTAACCAGACTATGCGACTCCCGCGACCAAACACGACCAATTGAATTGTTGTTTTGACTCGAGCGGCTAAAACTCGCGACGTTTTATTATTCAGCATGCCGGTTGAATTTCGGTAACGCGTTTAAACGCGGGGATACCAGGTAAAACTCCGAGTAATTACGAATCTTTTGCTGCATTATGCTCGTAAACACGTTTACGAGGCGCGATCTCTTAAAATACGATAATTTCTCCCATTTGTCGGTGAACTTAATAATAATAAATGCGACGCGCGTGTATGTTCAATTCCCGTATGAACGATAATGAAAATTAGCGAACAAGATTACACGACAAAGGTTAGGCAACGTTAAAAAAGAAAAGAAAGAAATCAGTTTAGGGACCATTCTACAATTACATTACACCATGAAGGGAGGGGGTCTATCAGCTTGCGTGACGGCCTGTGATAGCAGGGAGAGGGGGAGGGGGGGTAAACGTCATATTAAATTACATAATTTGTAAACATGGACGTACGTGGTTATCCATTTTGTTTGCATTCGTGATACATTTGGTTACATTTGGCGAAAATTGTTAAGTTTTGACATAGATTTGTGTTGACAATAAAAAACGTCAATTTGTAGATATTTGTTCTTTTGAAAACACAACTTTTACCAATCAAAATTATAAAATAATCAATTTGACATTATACGCCTAACAGTTATTTCTATTTTAGAAAAAGACATTAACGTGCATAATAACGTGCAGTTTCCAATAATTACTATTAACTATTTTTAATTATAATTATTATCCACGATGATTTATTTAATTATAAGCTACTTTCTTATTCTATGTGTCGGTAGAGAGGAGAAAAGTAATTCCACGTGTTATATAATATTGGAAGAGGATAAACACTTTGTGACGAAATGGTGACGAAGGGAGAGGGGAGGGTGAAAAATACCCAAATGCAGCGTGACGTAATTGTTGAATGGCCCCTTATCTGCTCTTCCGAGTGCGAACGATCACCGGTGTTGCGCTACCCCACACTTTCAGATTTCAGCCAATCTGCGAGTTGCAGACTCGATCCTCTCCTTGCAAGATTAACAAGGGTTCCGTAATTTGGCCGACGAAGTTTATCCATTTATCTATTTCGCTATCCATCATCCGCCGCGCAGCTATACGAACGACAGCATTTCCTCCGCCTCGCAAAGCGATGCGACACGAATTTCGAAACGGGCAGGCAAATTTTTTAAGGAATTAAGCGGTTACGCGCGCGCGCTCGCTACCGCGCGCGTTCGATCGCGCGGTCGTCGCATGTGGAATCTCGTGCGACGCGCGGACTAGCGCGGGTAATAATTAATTACGTTAGCTGCAATCAGTTCGTTAATCAACGCTCTCTACTGTCATTCCCCGTCCTGCCGCGCCTACTGGAACCGTTGAATGATCTCTCGATTGCCAATTCGTTTAATCATATCGCCGGGCCTCTCACTTGCGCACGTGCATTAACCTCAATGGCTGGGTTCCCGATTAATTACGGCCGGACTGACGTTGACGTGTGACGCGCGCGCGGACAAATAATTCAGCGATGGATATTTCGCGTAAGCTAAAAATTCGCGCGCGATTCGCGGTGCGATCCGATCGTGAAACGCGCGGCGTCTCGCGCGCAGCACACGCGTGCGATAAATAATCCCCTCCGAAAAAATCGTATTAACGCAAGCTCCCCCGAACCGCGCGCAACTTTCGGTTTAATGAGGCTTTTTCGTCGAACCGTCGCGCGGGGACGCGTTTTCCTCGGTTAAAATATAACAAAATATTAATTCATAATAATTAATATTAATTAATATGAATTTCTGGGTTATAAACGAGCGAAAATGAACGACCTCATGCATCAAGTAGCGGGATATGTATACACTGAGAGCAAAAATATTAATGAAAATTATTCGATGGTGCTGGTAACATATGTTTTTATTTATATACATATTTCTACGTCGGGAAACATTGTTTTTTTCAAATGAGAGAGTATACATTTCATTTAAATTTGTAGCATGCGCAGAGAAAAGGATTCCTTTGGATTTAATAAAATTGTTTTAATTGAAACAAATTTGTCTTTCGGAGTTGAGCAAACAAACGAATGTGTTTGATCCAACAAACAAGATTGTTTGGTCTCTCTAACAATAAATATTTTTGTGTCAAATAATATATTTCCTTTGTATTTTCATGCAAATATATTACAATGGTTGTCACGAACAATCAATTATTTGAAAGCAGTAACACCATGTTGGGAAAATATTAAAGAACTTTTTTATTTCAGTGGAACGATATTTAATATACAATGAAATGCATTATTTTTTTTATTGAAAACCGACTATTATTTCCTCTAAAAAACACCGTTTTTTCTATCAAACGAAATGGCTTATTCTAGTAAAATATTAGCATATTTATTTAAACAAAATTATATTTTATATTACATTAGGTTATTTATGTTAAACAAATCTAAGTCCAACGAACACGTTTACCAAATTAAAAAAAAAAAACCTTTTTCTCTGTGTGAAAGCAACTGTTTATTCTATTTAAATAAAAGAATTTAGATTAAATAAATAAGTTATTAGTACCCCCGAAGAAATATTTTCTACTTTCTAAATATTTTCCTCTCAGTGTATATGATTAAATCAAAATCTTATCTTTTTAAATCGCGATCGAAATTTTTACTCTTAATTCACGTCTCACGGTAAACTGATAACATCAAAATTTTTATTTGCGGATTTTAATCGCCAAGATGTTTCATGCCAGACCTTGAAGTTGCCGTGAACGATGGATTTCTTCGGAATTTCTCCTAAGTGAGAATCAAGATGCTTCAAGAATGTACTAATGAAACCAAGACCGGGGAATCTGAGACATCCTGCGTCTCAGAGTAACTCCTGCTAGCAAGAAGACGGCTACCGTGTCTTCGCCGGGGTGCGAAGGGACAGTTTGGAAAATAACCGGCCGTGTACGTCGCACACAGAAAGTTCGGAATAGTTGTATCGCGATGGACTGGAAGCGCGCGCGAAATTTTAACGGGCAAGGGAAGGGGGGGGGGAAGGACAATGAAGCGTTACATGAAGACAGGTCGGTGTAATTTTATTGAGCCAGTTTAATTAGGCGCCGGATGCGACTCAAAGTTTCGCGCTAACTTGTCATAAAGGGCGCTGATATACGACGCTAGGCGTAATTAATAATTAGGGAGCAGCTTGCGGGGAGGCTTCCAGTTGAATTCCATTCTTATAGCGGAGTCCACCGCGCGTGGAATCTCCCGTTGCGCTCGCTTCGTTTATCTCGTCTAGCTCGCGTCACAAAGCTCGCGTTGCCATTTGTACGACGCTAATTTTCCGCCCCGGGGAGAAATGTCAAACTCCTCTGAGACAACCGAAAGTTGTTGCGTCGTGCGTGTTTACGTAACGCGTTTCGAGTTCAAATAGATTTAACCCTTTTCGGAACCCCGAGATACACACGGTGTCCTGAGACTACTACCGTCGTAGTCTCTCTATCAGCAAGTTCCCCCTGACGCGGAGAGACGATTCTCTCTCCTAGAGGAAATTCTGACGCCGTACTCTTTCACCTCCCCTCCCCCCCCCCCCNCGCGTATATTCAACTTTATTAAGTATAATTTACTGCGAATTTCGTTAAGGTGCGTCGCGCGTGAAACTAAATGTAGAATAACGTTTTGTTAGCAATTTGCACTCTCGCGGACCAATTTATGAAAATTACCGCGTTTCCTGTTGCTCGCAAACTGCGCCGTCTACAAAGTATATTTCCACAGACACATCATGACCAGAGCTTTAAATAGCTTTAAATTTAAACAGCCTCGAGAAACTGTTCGCGAATGCATATTTATCGGAATTTCGCGGAATCTCGAAGTGTTTTATTTCGCCTCAGAGCAGAAGTCGAGCAAACGGATATTATCTTCGCGTCGGAGTTACTTGATAACGTCGAACTGTTTCGAGCAAATAAACTAAACTCCACCAAACTGCGGGGAATATCAATCGACATATAATACCGTCTCGTATTCCCGAGATAACAAATTACAGCGTACTTTACTCTCGAGCGGGATTTTAATTGAAGATCTCATTACTACAATATTTAATGTTAAAACGTAAAGAAGTGCGAAAAGGAGGATAGAATCCAATTAAATTTTCGCCGAGGAAAACTCGAGCCCAAACTCACCGAAGAATTTCGCAGTCGGGAAAGAACGTACGCGACTTCTCTGACAATACCTTATATATATACATATATACATATGTATATATATATATATATATATATATATATTTGAATATTCTTCTCGCTTTGTACGAGTGTTAATTTCCTGAAGCACACCGTTCAAGAAAGTAATATCTTACGCTAGCTTAAAGCGATTCCCGGTCGCATTTCACTCGTGTATTATGCACTGACCTCACTTTGACCGATCGTAGTAACCTCAATTGCATGAGGAAGCCCGTCTTTTCCGAAATGACATCCAATTAGATATACAAGGTGATGCAATAACTACTACCGTCTTGAACATCTTCGAAATATGAGAATAGGAGGAAAGTTTAACAGAATCGCAACAGAAATCGCATTGATACCTCACTTCAAATACAGCCTTCTACATCATTACATCCAGTCGTTATTAAAACATTTTTACTTTTCGATGATATTCAAGATTGCATTAATTAACGCCCACCCTATATTTTGACATCTTCCGACGAATTTCAGCTCACATTTTTTCCTACATACGTTTGCGCCTCTTT